AAGAATCTACATATAACATCTACATCTACATCTCTGGGAGATGGACAACAGAAAAGTGGGTGAAGGGAGACATCAGACAGTGTCAAATATGGCAAAATAAAAATTTATAAATTTCCAAGGGATCATGAGGGAGAGGGGAGCAGGGAGGGAGGGGGGAAAAATGAGCTGATACCAAGGGCTCAAGTAGAAAGCAAGTGTTTGAGAATGATGAGGGAAACAAATGTATAAATGTACTTGACACAATGGATGGATGGATGGATTGTGATAAGAATTGCATGAGCCCCAACAAAATGATTTTTTTAAAAAAGAAAATGTTTTGAAAATGAAAAAAAAAAGAACCCGTTACTCCAAGGGGCAGTTCTAGCCTGCCCCATAGGGTCGCTATGAGTCAGCATTGACTCAATAGCAGGGAGTTCGGTTTTGGTTTGGGGGTCTTCCAGGGCCTCGGGTGGCTCAGGAGTCAAGGCCAGCTCTTTTAGAGGGACAAGGTCCCTGTCCCTGACAAGCTTTCTCTCTTCAGATGTAGTGATCTCACGTGACGAAGTAGAACTTTCTAATCGGGTCTTCTTAGCATTCATCTCTCTGGAAGCAGATCACCAGGCCTTTCTCCTGCAGAGCTTCTGGGGGTTGGGAGTGTAGGCTTTGAACTGCCAACCCTTCAGTTAGCATCTTAGTGCTTCACCGCTGCAACACCAGGGCGCCTTCCTCAGATGTTACAAGGGAATGATTGCCAGCCCCTCTCTGCAGCTAGGAGTCCTGGTAGCCTACTGGTTCTGTGTTGGGCTGCTCACTGGGAGGTCAGCCGTTCAAAATTACCAGTTGAGCGGATTTGGGGAGGTGGGGAAATTAATCTTTCTACTCCCCAAAAGAGTTGCAACCCTGGAAGCCCACAGGGGCAGTTTGACCCCGCCCAATCGGATCACCTTGAATCAGAATTGATTGATGGCAGTGAGTTTGGTTTGGTCTTGATCTCTGCAGATGCAGCTCAGATTGCAGGAGAAGCTAGCGCGTGCGCACACACACACACACAAACACACACACACACACACACACCCTCAGACTCACTGCTCCACTTGCCTGGGGTTTCCCTCCCAGCATTGCTCGAGCCTACGTGACAGTGCTCAGGACAGCATCTGGCCTTGGGCTCTCTGACAAGTGGACTCTACCGAGAAAAGTCTCCAGCTGGATCCAGCGGCCTGAGCAAATGCGCAGGTGTGGGGCAGGGGGAGTCCCAAGGGAGCCCTTCAACCTCAGAGGCTGAGCGCCCAGTAGAGCTGGCCACAGGGCTCCTGGCTGTTGTCCAAGGCAAGGCCAGTGCAGGGGCTCCGTGGCGATACCCGGTCAGGGCACCCTACTCGAGGAATGTCTGGCTACGTGAATTTTGAACAGCTTGCCAACCCATCCCCCAGGGGTCAGCAGGACCTGGCTGGAGTCCCAGCTTGCACAGGTCTCACTTTCCCACCTCTGTTCCGGGACAAATGACACCACCTCGCAGGGTATCCGCTGTGTCTGGTTTCTTATCTGCGAGGAGGGGCTGGCTCCTGGGACTGGACGTCCAGTGCTTTCACGCAGTGTTGGACACGGAAGAGGCCCTGGGCTGTTCTCCCTCTAGGTCCAGTCTCCATAACACAGGCAAAGCCCCAAGACTACAAGCCTGGCAAGTGAAGAGAAAGTGTCGGGAAGAGATAGTGGCCATCCTGGAGAGTTCCAGAAATGCAAGCCAGATAAGCCTAGAAGCATTCTGCTTCCCTAGTACCCTGCCCCCTGCCCCTTCCTCACAAATGTCTCAGGGATCTCTGCTCTCTGGAGTTGGTTTCTGGCAGATAAGCTGAGTACAACCCCTGTCCCTCAAGGTGAGGCCTGAGGACTGCCCTGCCACCTGCTCTGGGGTTGGGCAAGGGATCTTAGCAGGAATGCTAAAACTAGCCAATTGGTTCTGACCCATGGCAGGCCTGTGGGTATTAAAGGCTGAAAGAGTCTAGGGGCAGGCTTCGGAGTTCCGTTTCTACGGTGGGGGGACCTGAACCCACCACTCAGGAGTCCCCCAGGGAGCGTGTAAAAACCCTTTGTAAAAACCAAGCCCAACTCCCTGCCATTTCTCACTCATAGTGGTCTGCTAAGGCAGAGTAGAACTGCCCCAGTGGGGTTCCGACACAGGAGATCTTGACAATAGCAAAAAGCCCTGTCTTCCTTCTGCAGAGCCACATGTGGATTTGAACTGCTAACCTTGTCCACTTAGCAGCCGAATGCTGTAACCCACTCTGCCACCAGGTCCCCTCTGTCTCTCTCAGAAGGGTTCCAAAAATGTGGAAGCTTTTCTCCTTGCAGGTCAGCGAGCTGCTCAGTCTTTCCATAGAAATGGATACTGGGTGGTGCTTACACAGCCCCCTGGATGCCCACTGCGTTCAACCAAGGCCACTCCCTGCCTGGCCCCCAGTAGCCCACATGACCTGGCTTCATCTACCTCATCCCTGCCATTCCCACTCTGTCTGTGTCGCCACCACTCTACTCCAGTCACCAGACTCCCACTCTCTCGTCCACTTGGGTCCTCGGGGCCCTGCCCGAGTGCTCTCTCTTCCAGAAGGCCTTGGTGACAGCTCCATCCAATGCGTGGCTCTTCTGTGAGGGCGGGGTTTTGTTTCGGTCTCCTAGGATCCCTGGTGGCGCCGTGCTTCAAGCACCCAGAGGTTGAAGGTCTGACCTCATCCGTCGCTTCACGGAGGTAGTGAAAAGGACTCTAAAGTGGATCGTGTTAATGATTGTGCAACACTTCTGGATATGATTGAGCCATTGAATGTGTGTGATACGTGGATTATGTGCCAATAAAATTGTTTTTAAAAATGGTAATAGGATTTCACTGTTATCATGATTCGGAGCACTTTAGGAATTATTACTTAAAAACTATGGTGCTGTCCCATTCTGCCTCTCATTCCCTAAAACAATTCCACCAAAAGAGAAAAAAAGATTGACAGCTTCAGAAACTCTAGGGGGCAGTGTTGCTCTGCCCTGTGCAGTCATGAATCTGCTGGGAGGGGGGAGGGAGGGCAGGGCTTAGCAAGTGCACCCAGTGGGTGCGCAGGAGGCAGCTCCGGCTGGAGGACTGTCTTGTCATAACTTGGAGGATCAAGATTATAGCGCGCGCGCGCGTACACACACACACACACACACACACACAGCAGAAACTGAAATGCAGGCACTAAGCCAGGCCACAGGGCACCAATCTCCTCACAGCAAATCGGGTCCTGGACAAGGAGTCCGCGTCTGGAGTCTGACACAGGTCATGGGGCAGGCCCTCTGTAAAGGGAGGCACATCACACTGAAGAGAACAGCAGCAGACAGGCTCAGGCATCTGGGTGAGCTTCAAGGGCAGGGCATCAACTGGGACAAAGACGCAGTCCTCCCTGGGGCTGTGCAGCTAACTGCACTCAGCTGCTAAGTGGAAGGGTGGAGTTCCGCCCAGAGGCATCTGGCCAAAAGGCCTGGTCATCAACAGGTGAACAATAGTCCTTCAAAGCCCATGGACGCATGAGAGGTCACCCTGAGCTGGAAGCAAATTTATGGCAACTGCTCACTAGGCAGAGTCCCAAGACCAGGCCCTGCCTGTGTCAGGCAGAAGTGGGGCGAGACCAAAGTCAGGAGGAAGAGCCCGGATGCAGCATTCGTGGGAGCACATCTGGAGTCTGGCCTGCCTAGCGCCACAGCGGGGAAGGGTTCTAGAACTTTCTACCTGGATCTGTTCACGGAAGGGTTCTAACAAGAAGCAGCGCTTCCCTGTGGCCCTTGTAGTTCTCCCCGTTCTGGCTGCTTCTGTGGCTTTCACATTCCAACAAGAGCTTCCATGTCCATAGGAAGAAGGACAGAATGTAGGTGACACCTGACAAGACTCTCCTGCTCAAGAACCACCATAGACTCTCCGTGGTGGGAAAAAAACTCCCCCATCTCTGCCTCCCCATTGTGGCTGCTCCTCTGTCCTCCTGCTCAACCACCAAATCCAGCCCTAACCCACCCCACCCCGTGCGTTACTAACTCAAACTGTGCGATCCATTCAAACACATAGAACAAGATCAATTCGTTTTCTGTGAACCTTCTGGAGCGTCAAGGCCCCAAACACAACATTTTGGTTCTGACGTTGTTTCCGCAGACATATCATTCCAGAAACTTGATAATAAAGGAACTGGAGATAGGGGACATAGCCACCTCTTGTTAAATTTCTTCCATGGCACCCAGCAAAGAGCAGAGACATACTCAAATTAGTTGTTAGCTTGACCAAAAAAGGGAAGGGTAGAACATCAAACCCAAACCAAACCCTACTTTTGATGTCAGGGATAACTCGAAGGAAAACGGGACACAGGGTCGACTTACTCTGAAGCACTTGGGTCTGTTGGGCAACTTAAGACCTTTTGTTTTTGGACTTTGATTGATATGGTGGGGGGGTGGCAGTAAGCAGCCCCCTTTCAACATTGCAGGCACACAATCCTGAAATCCTGATGAGTCAGCATCTCCCCTGAAGGTGTCCCTAACCTTCCACTTGCAGTGCTTCACTCAGAAAATAGATCTGGCTGTGGCCCATCCCCCTTCAGGTGCTTCTTCCTTCCCACTGAGGGTGCCAACAGCGAGAAAGAATGAGTCCCAAACGAGTGACGAACCATGAACATTTCAGGTGGCAAAGAAAGCTGGCAGGGGGGCTGTATCTTGGCAGGGTTCTGCTACTTTTGTAGGGCCAGTCGCCTCTTCTCCTCCCAAACAAAAATGTCTTTTGAGAGGAAAGCAAGACACGAAGGCAGGTTATAATCTATACAAAGTTTTATTGTAATAGCAACTTGTATGGAAACAAGTGGGTGTCAGCTTTACTGCAGGCACGGGAGAAAAAGAAAGAAAAAAAAGGGAAAGAATAAAACTCCAGTGATACCTTAGCTTGTATTTACACCATTTGGTTTCAACAGGGACAGGAAGTTTTACTGTTGGTTTCCTGTGGGAACTCAAGTTTCTGCACCTTCCCCTGCTGCCGCTCAGCATCACGGTAAAGCAGGGATTTTTGGGCCTTCAAACGGCAAGCCAGGCACATGAAAATGGACTCCACGTTCTGGCTCTCTTGGGGGTCCTTGGCTGATGTTTCAAACAAGAGCATGTTGTGGGCGTCGGCAAATTTCAGAGCTAGATTGGAGGGTACCTGGATCTGTTCCCTCAAGTCACACTTGTTGCCCACAAGCACTTTGGGGACGAGGGGGGGCACGGCATGCCCGTTGCACTCCTGGATCCACATTTTGAGGTTAGTGAAGGATGTCATCTTGGTAACATCGTAGACAAAGACCACGGCATGCACATTGCGGTAGTAATGTTCTACCATGCTCTTCCGGAAGCGTTCCTGACCCGCTGTGTCCCACACCTGGACCTGGAAGAGAGCAAAGCCCAGCCAGGGAGTCAGAAAAGGAAACATGAACAGAGAGGAGAAAGTCTGGGTCTCTGTGGAATCATAAAAAGCCGACCACCGTCCTGCTAGAGGAAGCGGGGCTCTGGCACAGGCATGAACGTGGGCCCTCGGAAGGGACATGAACAGGTGCATTTCAGGGTTTGGCAAGGTGTTCCTTTGACACTTTTCTTGTGGAAAAACTGCGATGTCACTGGGCAACCTTTGTGGCAAGCAAGATGGCAGTAAGAATACCCCAGACCCTTAGAGCCTGTAATCCCATGCCCAGAAACCGAAGCCAAAGACTCAGCAGTGAAAGAATCAAAACCCTGTGCACCAGCCACTCCACTGGTGCGCTACTCGTACTCCGCTAAAACGGGGAAGGATCGCGAGAGTTCCTCTCGCGTACTCTGGACATGTCCGGAGAGACCAGTCCCTGAAGCCGGACATCGTGGTTGGTAAAGGGGAAGAAGGTCCTCAACGAGATGGCTTGGCAGTGGCGGCAACAAAGGGCTCAGGCCACTGCAACAATTAAGAGCAGGGCCCAGGACCAGGCAGTGTTTCGCTCTATTGTCATAGGGTCGCTGTGGCTCCAAACGGACTCGAGGGCACCTCACAACAACAACAACAAAACCGGGCAAGGGCCTAACTCACAAAGTAACTGCTCAAGTGTACACAGCTCGGTGGGTGTTGTCGTCAGGGGCGGTTGAGTTGATTCGAGCTCTGTGGGACCCATGTGGGCTCAAGTGCACAGCTACTGACCGAGAGGTGGGCAGCTGGAATACACCCAGGTGACCTTTGGAAGAAATCCCCTGCGATCTGCCCAGAAAACCCTATGGGGTGTGGTTTCAGGGGGTACCCAAGTCAACTGGCAGAGCAGTGCACACAAGGACAAGTGTACAAATGTGCTTCACGCGATGGATTGTGATGAGAGTTGTATGAGCTCCCAATAAAATGATTTTAAATGTTTTCCTTTCATGTAGGTTTGACAAAAGTTATTTCAACATGGGTCTTTCTTTCTCTGAATGTGGTGGAGCATACAGGAAGCAACATTATTAAAAACTGACGAAACATAGCCAAATACTTAGGGGGATCAGGATGCTAGGCTCAGGGGGCACCCAGGTCAACTGGCACGGCAGTGCACACAAAGACTAGGCTCGACATCCTACTTTGGTGAGCAGCAACTGGGGTCGTCAAAGCTCGAGAGCGGCCGCCCGCCTGAGGGGCAGCCACTGGCCTCTCTGTGCCTGGAGGAACAAACTGTGAAGAAAATCACACACACAGAAACAATCAGTCCAACGGGCCACACCCACATCAGTCTCCAGGACCCTGAGACCAGAAGAACTAGATGGTGCCTGGCCACCGCTACTGACCGCTCTGGAAGGGATCACAGTAGAAGGTCCTGCATAGGGTGGGGGGCGGGGGGAAGAGTGGAATAAAACTCAAAATCATCCCAAGACCAGGCTTACTGGTTGGAGAGAGACTGGTGGAACTCCTGAGACTATGGGCCACAGTCACCCTTCCGGCCTGGACTGGAACTCAGCCCCAAGGCTCGGCTTTCAGCCAAACCACAGGCAGGTCTGTTCAGGGACCGCTGACCCGAGGGAGGGAGGGAGGAAGGGAGGGAGGGAGGCACACCTCACAGCAGTCCAGCACTGGAACAGAATCTACTCAAGGGTGACCTTCAGCAGGGGAAGAGCGGAGGAAGACCAGAGACAGGAAGCACCGAGAAGACACTGAGATAAGCAATGATACACGGGAAGAGACAAACTGTGTCTCCACTGCGGGGTGGAAAACTGATTAGCCACCCAGCGAGCTTTCACCCACTTCCCAGGCAGACCGTGTGGGAGGAAAAATCAAAGAAACAAAAACAAAGTATAGGAAACCCTGTCGGGCAGGCCTTGCGCCACGCGGGTCCCTGTGCTGCACAGCCACGGTGGGGGTGGGGGCGAGGCAGAGGCTCACAAAAGACAAGAGGAAAAACGCAGGACACACGCAATGTCCCAGGGCGGGGTCTCCACTCTGACAATGCAGGAACCGTAGCAAGCACAGAGGAAAGAGACCGCAAGCATTTTCCCCAGCACACCAATGGCTATTTCTAGGAGGCGAGCCCACCGCACACGACATTGGTTTTCTGCTACACTGCCCGACAGTTTCATTCTTTTTCTGCGGCGAGCATGCGTGCCTTTATTTTTGGCTTTGTTTTGTTTACATCTCATTCTAGAGAAAAGAGCGCAAGCTGGTGTTCACGTCGCACCTTTGCGCTCAATGGCTAAGGGCATTTCACTGGTTTGGAAGAGGTACTGTTGCTGGCCGGCTGCATTTCCGTGTGCATCACAGCTTGGGGAAGAAAGGCCAGGCTAGGAGGACCGAAAAGCTGCTAGCAGCAACATCTCCAAAGAAACCACTCCCTGGAGAGGCTCTGGGGTCAACACCTACTCAGCAGCCTCCTCTCTGGCCTTCCCGCCTTCCAGCATCTCGGCCAAGAGAAACTCAGGTTCTGAATCATGGTCCCAAGGCCCTGTTTCAGTTCTCAAAGAAAAGGTGATTGTGGCCACTAATTGACGGCTATGGCTCTTGAAACGAAGTAGAGCCTTTATTGGGAGCGAGCAGTCAGTACAGGCACTTTAGAGAGGTTTGCTTTGCCGTACAGGAAGGCCAGGAGACCAGGAAGGTTGGAGACAGGACCGTTATGTTATGCTCCCTGGTGGGGGCTGCAATCAACTAGCGGAAACCATGAATCCTTGAACAGAAAGCTCCACCTGCTCTGTAAACCTTCTCCCCGTTCACAATAGAAAAGCTCTTCTCAAAGGGACAACAAAACATTCAGACAGACCTTCTGAGACATTCAGACAGACCTGAGATGTTTTGCATTTGAAATGTGATAGGAAACACCTAGGCACCTCTCGTGCACACAAATTTCAATGCGGAACCACACCGTTTAAGATCCCGACTTCTGTAGTTATCCTCTCAGTGCTAACAGTGTAGTCTCCTTCCACCGCTTTCCCGAATTTAGTCCCAGTGTCTGTCCGTGGAGGCTGCCGGTCTTCCCTCTCTTGGGTCATCTTTGAGATCTTCCCGACCTGCCTCCAACACTTGATCACTGTCTGACGTCTCCCTTCACCCACTTTTCTGTTGTCCGTCCCCCAGGGAGGGGGTTATATGTAGATCCTTGTAACCAGTTCCCCCTTTCTACCCCAAATATGACAAAATAATAATAATTTATAAATTATCAAGGGTTCGTGAGTGAGGAGTGGGGAGGAGGGGAAAAATGAGAAGCTGATACCAAGGGCTCAAGCAGAAAGCAAATATTTTCAGAATGATGATGGCAACAAATGTACAAATGTGCTTGACACAATGGATGGATGGATTGTGATTAGAGTTGTATGAGCTCCCAATGAAATGATTTAAAAAAAAGACACTTGATCAATGTAAAAACTGGTTGTTGTTGTTGAGGGTGGGGTGGGGCAGTGCACAGCAGTTCTATACTCTTGGTGCAAAGCTTCATTGATTTGGGAGCATATCCATGTTCGCCTGAGTCTTATTTGAAATGTGATATTAGCCCTGATGCCCACCTCCTTGCCTCTAAGGATCACGATGGCCATACTTCTCCCAAGCAGATTTGTTTGTCCTTTAGTAGACCGTGGTCTTTTCGGTATTCTTGGTAAAAGGGCATCGAAAAAAGTGGAAGATCGTCAACCAGGTGTCTTGCCACTATGCCTGTAGCAACCGGCTCAATGGGTTGGAACACAGGAACGACAGTGAGGGTGGTGCAGGGCTGGACAGGGCAGGGTTTCATCCTGTTTGAACATAGGGTTACTCTTGAGTTGAAATCGATTTGATGAGACCCAACAGCAAACATCCGAATCTGGTCAATGTAAGTGGATCTCTTTGCTGAGTGAGGATTTCACAGGGACCCAGGGTCATCATGCTGAATATGGATTTTCATGGTCTGGACTCCCCGTAATGTCCTCTTTCAACACAAATGGTCAAATTCCTTGGGTACAACCTTCTCGGCTATCTCTCCCTTCTCCATTTTTTTATGTAAGTGGCTCTAAACTAGACTCTCCTCTTCTCCCTCCTGCAATTCAGCGATGCATTCCAGATCCTGGATGCCTCCACTCCAGCCTTGTTTGCATCGGTAGTGTGTCATCGGTCTCTTCAGAAAATTTCCAGACTCCTCTACTGCATATAGAGAGAACATCGAACAGGAAGCCCTTTGTCATAACTTGACAATTTGATCACTTGGACATCAGGCTTGGTAAGGTGGAGGGGCAGCGAGATAAAGCCAGGCCCTGGACGAGATGGACTGAGAGAGCGTCTGCAACTCACATCAGAACAATTGTGAGGATGTCGCAGGGCCACCCAGGTTGCCTTCCGTTGTATATTGATAGGGTTTCTATGCGTCGGAATGGACCCACGGCACCTAACAGCTACCACAATCTGATCCCACTCAACCTAGTTCCAAACCACTCAACTCTGCCTAGTGCCCTCCCTCCTCATGCTAGGCCACCCCCGTCCCCCAACAGACCCGGTCACTCCTCTAGGCCTTCATCCCAAATCTCACCTGGTTTTCAAGACTCGGTTCACGCCTCTTCCTTCTTCCTACAGCTTCCTGCCACTTCCTTCCAGTCTTTGGTCTTAGGCCTTTCTATTGCACTCTGTGTCTGGAACACTCCATCGCAATGATAGGTTTTGGTTCGGTTTTTAAAAATCATTTTTGGGGTGGGGGTTTCTTACAGCTTTTATACCAATCCATTCAATTGTATCAAGCACATTTGTACATATGTCATATGTTTCCTTCATCATTTCCAAAACATTTTCTTTCTACTTGAGCCCTTGGTATCAGCTCCTCTTATTCACCCACCCTCCCCCACCCTCGTGAGCCCTTGATACTTTATACATTATTTTTATTTTCATATTTTACACCATGCACTGTCTCCCGTCACTCACATTTCTGTTTTAAAGCGTCCTGGGGTGGGGGG